TGTATGGTGTACCCTTTGGTTATTTGATGATGCATGGAGGGGATTGTAATTATTGCAATGAAACTAAATATGATAGGATGAATTTAAAGCTCATGTTCTCCCATGTAAACCTCACAATAAAAACTTTTTTTAAAAAAGTGAATATACTAGAAATGTAGTAGGATTTCTGGGTTACACTAGGGCCCCTTTGATCTAGTGGTCATGGATTTAAAGCAAGTCTATCCAGTTGTCGTCATGGAGTAACAGAGTTGCATTTTATTAGGGTTCAAGTGAACTCAAAGAAACAAGAAAGGGACTAGGCAGCCATCCTATACAGAGCTGCTACAACAACAATATGGGAGACCAAATGAAATAGACACAAAGGACACTTTTGGAACACTGAGCTTCAGAGAAAAAGTTAGAAAAGCGGGCTGAATACCTGTTAGGAGGAGAAGCTTAGCAGCAATGGCAAAGGCTGGTGAACAGGTGGATGGCCAGTCGCAGCACAGCCATCTTGAACTTTTCAAGCAGCTTTGGGGAGACAGATGGTGATCTGACGGTGCAGATTCACAAAGGTGATAGAAAAGCAACCATGTCTATACAGCTTAGCCACAGCCATACCTTATGCATACCTATTGGACAAGAGCCAATACCAGCTTCTTCTATACCACCTGATCAACAATAGACATCAGCCACACCAGCCAGACCCACCCTAAACAGAGCTGCACAAATGGTGAATGGAAAATGGTGCACATGTTTCTGTTCTCTAATCACACCCACCAGAAGACAGCTGATTAGAACCTAAAAACACACTTATATACAATCATAAGTTACATGCAAATACAATACCACCACAATATCTTGCAGGCAACAGCAAGTTTTTAGCTCACATGAATAAACAAGAGAAACGGACTCAAACAAATGGCCAAAATGCAGAGCCAGAAAAAGTTTCTGAGGAAGAAAAGGTAATGTAACCAACTAAGAAAGAATTCAAAAAAATGATAAGTTCTCTTGAACATATCATTGAAAGACATCTACAATGGTTTGACTGAAAGATTAAGGAAAGAAGGAAAACACAGAAAAACACTTTAGAAGAATTTAGGAAAACACTGTTAAGAACAAACAGAAAAAATAAATGCAAATTTCATAACAATGTAATTCCTGCAAATAGAAATCGAGAAGAGTAACATTAAGATCTCAGAAATGGACAATACATTGAAAGGACAAAGGTGTAGATGCAAAGCCATGGATGGAAGCCCTGATTAATGACCTTGAAGGTAAAGCTCTCAATACCAGTATGCTAGAAGAACAATTTGAAAAAAAAGAATGAAAGAACTGGAAGATTTGGAAGAAAGCCAATTTTTGTGGGACACCATGGAGAGGAATAACTTAAAGGTGTTTGGAATTCCAATCACAGACACAGAGAAATCGTCAAAGAATTGCTGAAAGAAAACTTCCCTAACATCATGAAAGACGAGAAGATAATCATTCAAGAAGCTGAATGAACCAACCTCAAGCAGGATCAACCCCAAAAGAAATTTCACAAGAAATATCATAAACTTTCCAAAACCAAAGACAAAGAAAAATTCCTAAGAGTAGCTTGGGAAAAACAAAAAGTTACCTACAAAGGAGAACCAATAAGACCAAGCTCTGATTTCTTAGCAGAAATCATGCAGGCAAGAAGGCAGTAAGATGGCATATACAAAACTCTGAAAGAAAAAAAGTTGTCGGCCAAGGATCATATACCCATCAAAGCTGTCCCTTAAATATGATGGTGCAATTAAAAAAAGGATATTTTCAGATAAACAAATTAGAGGAATTTATAACATTCAGACCAACTTTATAAAAAATACTAGCATGTTCTTTAGACTGAGAATCAACAACAACAGACAACAACCTGAGATTACCATAATGACAACACTACCCAGAACTCAATCCAGATATAGAAGTATTCAAAGTAAAAGAAACCTACAAGACTGAAAATTGGGAACCAGAGATATCAATTTTTAATGAGTCAACTACAAAGCAAAAAGAAGTAATAGTGTAGATATAGAACTTCTAAATGGTAAGGAAGTTAAGTAGATTTTGAGATAAGACAGACTGTTTTAAATGGGGAAAAATAATAAATTACAGGATAACCTCAAAGAAAATTAATATACTTCCACATCAAAATAGAGGAAAATCAGAAAGATTTAATAAGCATTAAAACAATAACAATGACAAAAATGAAAAGAAAACACATAAACAAAATAAAATTTATATGGAACAAAGAAACTAGCAATGCCACAAAAGTACACACAGCATAATTACAGCAATCAATTCATACCTATTGATAATTAAACTAATGTAAATGGATTAAATGCACTAGTCAAGAGACAGAGAGTAGCAGAATGGTTACAAACTTTGGAACACACACAATGGAGTACTATGCAACACTGAAGAACAATGATGAATCTGCAGAGCACTTCATAACATGCATGAAACTGGAGGACATTACATTGAGTGAAATTTGTCGTTTACAAAAGGGCAAATACTGTATGAGACGACTGTTGTAAAAAGTTGAGAAAAGGTTCTTTTGCTAAAAGAAACATTCTATGATGGTTACCAGGGTTTGAGGGAAGCGGAAATTATTCACCAGGTAGTGGGTTGTTGTGAAGTGTCATTGAGTCAGTTCTGACCCATAGTGACCCTATATGGCTTTGCAGTCTGGCAGCACACCCACAGCACCACACCAGGACTCCATGTTAACTTAGCTGATGGGGAAGGCATTATTCAACAAAAGAGAGGTTGGCACAGGAAAAATGAAAGTAACAGGATACACGGGGAGGAATGTAAGAGTTAAAATGAACAGAGATAAATCCTGTTAACTAATGGTACCTGGAAGGGATGGCAGTCATTGTATTGAAGCAAAGTATATGATTTGTTGAATGTAAAACTAATGATCTGCTCTGTAAACCTTCACTCAATTCCCAATAAAAAGTTTTTAAAAAGGTAAAAGGAATGGAAGACACAGGAAGGAGTGCAAGAGTTAAAGTAAACAGAGGTAAATACTGTTAACTTATGTTAACATGAAAGGGATTGCAATCATTATGACATGAAATATATGATTTATTGCACGTGGGACTAATGATCTGTTCTGTAAACCACTCAATTCACAATAAAAAGTTTAAAACTAGGATAAGAGAGGAGGGGCAAAGGTGTTGAGGTGTGAGCAGGACAGTGATTATAAAGATGGGCTTGAGTCTACACTGAATTATAAACAGAGCGAGGAATTGAGGTCCTGGTAATAGATAGGATTTTCTTTATGAAATTATTCTAAGGACATCAATCATTTATTCAATCACTAAATCCTTATTGAACAACTTCTGTGGCCAGACACTGAGCTAGCTAAAGCCATTTCGGGCTCCACACTAATGGAGAGAGACATTTCTTCCATTAAGTAGGGTGGGGGCATACAAGGCAAGGAAGAGTTCTAGAGAAATCATTTTTCCTTGATTGTTCAACTACCTATTTTTTTGAAATGACCAACTGCATTGTCTAATTGTTTTCTTATATTTACAGTGGCCCAAAGAAGCACTTCTTTCCGTATCAAAGTCATTTTTCTCAAATGTTGATCCTGGAAACGTAGACCTGAAAGAAAAACTTTCCCTCATGTGTGTGAATGTTCACCTGAGTGTCTCCCAGATGGCAGAGCGCTATTACACGGAGCTCCGGAGACGGTACTACACAACGCCCACCTCCTACTTGGAACTGATCAATCTTTACCTGTCTATGCTGAATGAAAAAAAGAAACAGTTAGTTTTAGTAAGTTTACTATTACAAATTTTTTGTCTGGGGACTTGAACTCGACATTTTTGACAAAATAAGTGAAACGTCTCTGCACTGAATGACCTGCTGGAGTGTTCCTCATCCTGACATGTATTCTTGACAGCCTCCAATATGACAAAAAAGGCACCTTGTGCTCTAACTGGAGAGACTGTGTCCAGTCCAGGGACCTTCCCCTTTCTTACTATTTATGTTTTGTCTTCTATCATTCACATCTTGACTGAGTGGACTATGAGCCCTGTAATAGCATCAACATTAAGCAGGGAACTAATGATCTCTGCAGTATTTAACATGAAGGAAAACTTCTTTGTTAAGCAGTAAAAATGGAATTTGGACTTCTGGTGTGGCGCTGTAGGATCAGCACTGGACTGCGAACCACAGGTCAACAGTTCAAACCCACCAGCTACTCCTCTGAAACCCTGCACTGGGTTGTATGAGTCAGAACTGACTCAATGGCACTTAACAGTAACCAAGATGGAATTCAGTGGTCCAGCAGGTCAGTGGTTCCCATTTCCAGCAAGGATTTTACTTTCACCCAAACTATGTACAATCTACGAACCACCTCTTTATTACTGTGCAACCTTGGACATGTTATGTAACATCTCTCAACCTTGCTGAAATATGAAATAAGGTCTAAAACTACTCCCTATATCTTTCCTCTTAGATGGTTGTGAAATTTAAATAAGATACTGTTTGTGAAGTGCTTGGAGTATGATCTGACACATATGAGGTGCTCAAAAAACAGTGGCTGCTGTTATCATTAGACTATTAAATGACATTGTAAACACAGTAAAATGAAAGCATGTACTGCTTCGACAGTTACAATGATTCACAGACCCACTGCCATTGAGTCGATTCTGAATCATGTCAACCCAGGGGCACAGTAGAACTGTTCCAGAAAGTTTCTGAGACTGTCAGTCTTCATGGAAGCAGACTGTCACATCTTTCTCACACAGAGCAGCTGGTGGGTTTGAACCATCAATCTTTGGTTAGCAACTTTAACCAATCAATCATTTGGTTAAATAAGCATTTAAATCACAGCATCATTAGGGTTCCTTTCAGCAGATTATTACTTGATAAAATGCATGCTTTGTAAAACAAGTTCGCAGATTTTTTCAAATCTGCCAGTTTGAACCAAATCTTTCTAAACCTCCTTCAAAAAACTTATTCTCAATTGCCTCATCTGCCAGATTGTGTTCCTTTGATCCTAGTTATGAGTTTCTGGGCCCTGGGAAGTGGGTCTTAGATCCAGCAAGTAGAGCTGGGCACATAGGAACCTATCTCCCTGAGTTAGCTCAACCATGCTGATCCACTTTGAGTGAACAAACTCCTAGAGCTGTAGTCTCCAGGGATTCCTATCTGAACTCGTTCCCCATTCATTTGGCATGCCAACATAGTACTGTGGGAAAATAAAAATGAGTAAGCTGTGACCTCTACTCACTGTGGACTCACAGTCTGGTGAGCTACCAGGACGTATGAGGCCAAACCCAGCATGGTGGATGTCATAGCCATTCTTCAGAGTTCTGTTACCTGAGGAGCTCTGCCGGGTCCATACTCTTAAGAATTATAGACTGACTTATCAATTCTGGAAATGGAAAGTTCTAGTACATGAATAAAGATGTATTTTTCTGATTATAACAGCTATTTTTATTGTCATTTAGGCACTAGGTCGGGTGAAGAATGGTCTCACCAAGTTATTAGAAACGAACGTACTAGTAGATAAGATGAAATTAGAACTTTCTGCTTTAGAGCCTGTCCTTGTAACAAAATCACGAGATGTTGAAGCCCTGATGGACAAATTAGCAGTGGATCAAGAAAGTGCTGATCAGGTAGGCTGCATGACCTTAAAGTGCTGGTAAGAAAGGTTTGGTCAACCAGGTGATCACTTATATACAATGAAATAATTACAATGGTTGGATTGTTTTCTATTATATGTCATTGAAGTAATAACATGATAGATAAATCTTGCAATATTTAAAGTTGTGAACAATCTCCCTTCATTAAATCATTCCAGTTCTCTCCTGGTTCTTTCCCTTAAGAGTGGGTGTGTCTCAATGAGTAGGCTAGGGAGAGTTATGAGCATATACAACCTACATATGTAAAGACTTACTCCTCTCTCAAGAATGAAATGTTGCTAGCATGTTTTTCTTCTCTATTATTCTACCAACCTGGCATGAGAAGGACAAAGGAGAGCATAAACTGTAATCTATAGCCCCTTTTCTCTTTGCTCTAACCCAAAGGGCAAACATGACTCAGTGTTACTGGTTTTGCTTTTAAACAATGACATTCAAATAACAAAACCACTTACTCAGCCCTGTTTCCATGGTCAGGTCCGTCAAATTGTGCAAGAGGATGAAGCAATGGCCAAAGTGAAAGCTGAAGAAACCCAAGCCATAGCGGATGATGCTCAAAGAGACCTTGAAGAAGCTCTGCCCGCACTCGATGCTGCCAACAAAGCGCTGGATTCCTTAGATAAAGCAGATATATCGGAAATCAGAGTCTTTACAAAGCCCCCAGATTTGGTAATGACCGTAATGGAAGCGATTTCCATCCTCTTGAATGCAAAGTGAGTGATTCAGATTTATGTATTACCAGAATTCTTGGTGGGATTTCTCCATTTTATTATACGTTTTCATGTGCTTCTCCATCCATTCACTGATTAAGTCACTGACCAAAGTGAGTCAGCAAACACTTTTTAAACATCTACTTAGTGCTAGATGATGGAAGCTGTCAAGATAAAGTTCTTCCCTATGAGGGACGAAAAGTCGAGTGGGAAGACATACATGAAAAGGAATAATTTCAAGACAACATGAGAGTTGCATAGTTTTGAGAGTATTGAGGGGGAAGTGCCTAAGTCCACCTGAGGAGGTAGACGTGGGATAGTGGGAAGGACTCAGGACCTTTGATGCTTGTAGAATGGGATGGGATGAGGCAGGGGGACTTCATTAAAGCACTTGTGTGCTGTGCTAGCTTTTTAGATTGCGTTCTGGAGATGTGTACTTTTCAAACTTTCTTTAACAACTCAACCCTTTTTTCCAACAAAACGTCTGTCAAAAGGAACCTCCCTGTGCAAAACTGGTAAGAGCAAGGGAAGAGAACCCGGTGCTCCCCCTGAATCTCCTGGTGGCACCTCAGCAGAGCCCAAGGGCACTGCAGAAAGCAGATGGAAAACACCAGTGGAGGAGACTAGGAACCATTGTACATTTTGTACAGAATCAGATTTTCATGTTAGAACAATAGCAAAATTCAGCAGGGCAAGAGTAATCAAAAGACTTAAACCCAGTTAAAAGGTGATTATAGTGGTCCTGGAAGATTTTAAAGGTCTAAACTAAGGCAATGTAGGCTAAGCACTGGACTGCTAACCGCATGGTCTGTGGTTCAAACCCACTAGCTGCTTCTTGAAAACCTTATACGGGGTTGCTATTATTTGGAACCAATCGATGGCACTTAACAACACAGCAAACTAGGGCAAAATGGTAAAATGTAAATGTTTGGGGCATTTTAGAAATAAAACTACTATCTCTATAATGCTTTACATTTTGAAAACTGTTGAATTTTATCATGTTTTCTCTACCCAAGCAGTGCTGGATGAAACCTTAGTCATCCAATTGCCTGTGTCCCTGTCAGTTGTGGTGCACCTTTACTAAGAGTACCAATTACTGGAACTATAGAGATTAAAACTACCTATTTACTGAGATATATCATAACGTTCACAGAGAACTCATTTATTTTGTCTTATATTCCTTTCTTACGATGCTACTCACTTACCATGCTTGCCTTTCAGGCCTGATTGGCCAACAGCAAAGCAACTTCTTGGTGACTCTAACTTCCTAAGAAGGCTGTTAGAATATGACAAGGAGAACATAAAGCCTCAAATATTGGCAAAACTTCAAAAATATATTAACAATCCTGATTTTGTGCCTGAAAAAGTAGAAAAAGTATCCAAAGCATGTAAATCCATGTGCATGTGGGTACGAGCAATGGATTTGTACTCCCGAGTAGTCAAAGAAGTTGAACCAAAGAGACAAAAACTCCGTGCTGCCCAGGTAATAATCTTCACTCTGTTATGTTACAGAATTACAGACATGACCATTTACCATTGATGTTTTTATATGCCACCATGATCCCACACAATGGAGTAACAAAGCTTTTGGAGACTAACTTTCTTTTTAAACAACAGCTAACTTGGCAAAGAATTTTATTTCCAGAAATGACCTCTAGAATGAGCCTTCTTCCCATATAAAAGAAAAGTAAGAATGCTAATATGGCCATCAAAAACTAGAGAAGTATCTTGAGTTGTCTTCTAGCTCTAGTATCTGATGGTCTAAATTTCCATTTGCTAAATACTCGCACATGTAATGGTATCAACTGAAGTTCTAGAAACCAGCTTAACTGCAATCAGATGTGAGGTCCTTGTTCTTCTCAAGTAAATGATCACTTAGTGGAGTGGGTTAGCTGAAGCACCGTGGACATAGAAGAGGGGTTGGCAAACTTTTCTCTAAAGGTTCAGAGAGTGAATACCTTAGGTTCTGTGGGCTATTATATGGCCTCTGTTGGAACTACTCAATTCTGCCGCAGCAGTGCAAAACCAGGCATAGATAATATGTAAATAGATAAGGTGGGGCTGGGTCCAAACCCTAAATGAGGGTCTCTGGAATTCAAATTCATATGATTTTATACAGTTGGATACTTTATCGCATGCCATGAAATACTATTCTACTTTTTATTTTCTCCAACCATTTAAAATTGTTAAAACCATTCATTTTTGTTCACAGGTTGTACAAAAACAGGCAACAGGCTAGGTTTGTCCAGCAGCCTGTCTGCCTGTTGTTGCTAATCCCTGCTGTAAAGAACTAGTTCAGAAAGATTATTTTTTACTATTACATCAGTACTTTCTCCATCATTTAAATTTAATATACTCCACTGTAGTAACTAATTCATCCCAAGTACTTGGTACATATATTTCTCTAATCCTCTTAGGATTCAAATTTTCCTTAGACTTTGTTTTGTTTTGTTTGCTTCTGTTATGGTGTTTTTCTTTTTCACTCTATTTTATGTATATTAATTCTATTTTATATTTGTATTGACTTTATATCCAAACCAAATCCACTGCCATCAAGTTGATTCCAACTCATAAAGACCCTAGCTAGGGTTTCCGAGGCTCCAAATCTGTAAGGAAGGGAGCAGACAACCTCATCTTTCTCTTGAGAAGCAGCTTTGAACCACCAGCCTTGCAAGTTAGAAGCCCAACATCTAACTCACAGTGCCACCTACTATATCAAAACCTTCCTGGATATGAAAAATGGAACCTAAAATCAGATTTAAATAGATGACACACACATATAACAATTGTGCAAATTCATTCTTCTTTGGGAGCCTATTCTTAAATGTATATTTGATATTATCAGGCTGAACTTGATGTTACTATGACTACCCTGAAAGAAAAGCAAGCATTATTAAAAAAAGTAGAAGATCAAATAAAGACGTTAGAGGATGAATATGACAAAGGTGTGAATGAGAAAGAAAGTCTGGGTAAGTACTTTATAAGAATTTACTATGGTCAAGAAATGCCTGATTTTCAAAAGTATCAATTTTTCTAGTGGTCAAATCTCAGCTTTCATCCAACATGTAGGATATATGTTAATTAGTTTCATTCCATTAACCACAGTTTGTCATACTGTGGTGGTTCGTGAGTTTCTGTGATTCTGAAAGCTATGCCACCGGTATTTTAAATAACCAGCCAGGTCACCCATGGTGGACAGGTTTCAGATGAGCTTCCAGACAAAGACAGACTAGGAAGAAAGAGTGATGAACTACTTCCGAATATTTAGTCACTGAAAACCTTATGACTAGCAGA